AGAGACGGATGTCATCTGTATGTGGCACTCCCTGGGCCCCGCCGGTCGGCATTCGTGCTCATCGCAGGCGTGGCTAGGCGAGGCCCTGGGGGGAACTCCTTGCAGGGGCTCCAGCTGTTATTATCTGTTGCATTTGCAATTAAGTGTTTTAAATTTGTGATGTAAATAGCGTGTTCATTGAGGACCTAGCAGGGGTTTTCTGAACAGGAAGGGTGGAGTATAAATTAAAATATCTATCTAATCTATCTATCTATCTATCTATCTATCTATCTATACCTAGCGAGGATGGAAGGAGGAAGATGGACAGTGAACCGTTGGTCAGGCTGTCTCCCACCGCTCTGACTGTTCTCTCCCAGGACCTCAGAGAGATCTGGTGAGTTCCAGGAATGGAGATGGGACCTGGGAAAATGTTGGGATTGAGGAGCCCACCTGGCAAGAAAACGAGGAAGGCTGCAGGGCCAGAGCTCCGGGCTAGCAGAGATAAAAGGTAGAAAGGAAAGGACATGAATGTTTTTTAATGGTGACATGGCATAGTCAGAGTTTTGGGGGTGTTGTCTACCAGCTCCATCACAGGCTAAGTCCTACTCGTGCACACAGACTGTGCTACATGCTATGGTTATCTCCCGCTTGGATTGCTACAATGCGCTCTAGGTGGGGCTGCCTTTGAAGGTGACTCGGAAACTACAATTAACCCAGAAAGCAGCAGCTCAACTGGTGACTGGGAGCAGTTGCCAGGAGCATATAACACTGGTCTAAAAGGATCTACAGGGCTCAGAGTATGTTTCCAAGCACAATTCAAAGTCTTGGTGCTGACCTTTAAAGCTCTAAATGGCCTCGCCCTGTAGCCCCTGAATGAGCATCTCCACCTCCATCCTTCTGCCGACAATGAGGTCCAACTCTGAGGGTCTTCTGCTGGTTTCGTCACAGTAAGAAGTGCATGTAGTGGAACCAGCCCTGTGGAACACCTCCCTTCAGATGTCAAGGAGATAAAGAACTACGTAGGCTTTTAGAAGACGTCCGAAGGCAGCCCTGATTGGGAAGTTTTTATGTTTTGCTGTTTTCCCTTAATTTTAGCAGGTGATGACCAGGGCAAAATGGTTCTCGGGGCCATCATCAGAAAGAAATAGGCATGAAGCGAAGAGAACAAAATGATAGCCCTTCATATGTAAAACGTTCAAAGGTAATCGAGCCTCAGCCCACACTGCAGAACCTCACTCAGAGAAGACACTGTATAAATGCTTGGTGTGTGGAAAGAGCTTCAATGACCGCTCAGGCCTAAAATCACATCAAAGAATTCACGCAGGACAGGAATCATACAATGCCTAGAATGTGGAAAGAGTTTCAAGCGCCACTCAAACCTTACAACACATAAGGTAGTCCACAGCAGGGAGAAACCACATAGGTGCTCTGAGTGTGGAAAGAGCTTCAGTCGCAGGAGAAACCTTACAGAACATCAAAAACTTCACACAGGGGAGAAATACTAGTCATGTTGGACTGGAAAGACTTCGTCACAGCGCAAGCCTTGCTTCGCATGAAAAAACCCCACAGGGGAGAAGCCGTATAAATGTTTGGAGTGCGGAATGAGCTTCGCTCACGGCTCAAGTCTTATATCGCACCAAAGAATTCACACAGGAGAGAAATCTTATAAATGTACAGAGTGCGGAAGGAGCTTTGCTCACAGTGCTACCCTTACTTCACATAAGAGAACCCACACAGGGGACAAACCATATAAATGCTTGGAATGTGGAAAGAGCTTCAGCCAGAGTTCACACCTTAGTTCACACAAGAGACTCACACTGGTGAGAAGCCGTATAAATGCTTTGAGTGTGGGAAGAGCTTCAGTCAGAGTTCACACCTTACTGTGCATAGCGAATCATACAGGGGAAAAACCATATAAATGTGTGACATGTGGAAAGAGCTTTAGTAACTGCACATACCTTGTTTGCCATCGCAGAATCCATACAGGAGAGAAGCATATAAGTGCTTTGAGTGTGGAAAGAGCTTCAGCCAGGTTACAAGCCTTCATATACATCAAAAAATTCACAGAGGTGAAAAACTGTATGCATGTTTTGAGTGTGGAAAGAGCTTCACTCAAAGCTCAAGCCTTGAACGTCATCAAAGAATTCACACAGGGGTGAAACCATATACCTGTTTTGAGTGTGGAAAGAACTTCATTCACAGCACAAGCCTTACATATCATCAAAGAATTCACACGGGAGAAACCATATAAATGTTTGGACTGTGGAAAGAGATTTGCACAGGGATCTAAGCTTACTTCTCATAAAAGAACTCACATGGGATAAACCATATATATGCTTGGAGTGTGGGAAAAGATTTGGTCAGATTTCACAACTCATTTTGCATAAGCGAATCAAGAGGAAAGAAATATTGAGATGCTTGTAATGCGGAAAGCATTTAAATTAGAGCACCGCTGTTGCTAAACTTCATGGAATTCATACAATAATTCTCATGGGAGAAATGGTACAGCGGCTGTCACGAAGGTGCCGTCAACTACAGGGCTGGCTGCCTGCCTGGTGAAATCAGTGGTGCTGTGAGCTTCTTTTGCTTCTTTCATTTAAATCAACAAAAACACACAGAAACATGGAATGTATGTCCTCAAAAACCTGAGCTGTTGCCTAGAGTGAGTGTTCCTGCCCCAGCAGTTACTTCCTGGCCTTGAGCCCCTTCCTGTTGTCTACGGGGGCCGCTAATGGAAAATCTCTGTGTCTGTTTGGCTTTCTGCTCTGTGAGATGAAGGGCACGCCTGGTTGTAGGGGAAGGAGAGGACTCCAGTATAGTAGAGACATCGTGTCGCTTGGCTGCTGTGATATTTCTTTTTTAAAAAAAAATAATCTTTATTAAAGTTTCAAAAGGTTACAAATAACAAAACAGAAAAACAAAAGAGAACACAAAAAACAACAAAAAAGATTCCACTTTTAGATCTCATTTTCAATAACTTCTTTTCATGACTTCCCCACGCCTCCCTTATTGTATTCCAACTCCAGTTGTTTGTTCAAACAAGTTTTTGTCCTTAATGTCCTAATCATAAATTGTTAATTTGCTTAACCATGATTTGTTAATATGATTCTGTAATAAATTTATGCCTTATCATTATTATCCTTATCCTTAGTTTAGTTTATCCAACAATTTTTAAAATATATACCTTAATCATATATGAAAAAAACAAACAAGAAATATAAAAACAAGAAAAAAGATACCTTTCCTAATGTTGTCCTTAATTCCCATCCACGGATTCCCCTTTCTTATAATAATAAAAACATATAATTTTTACACTGCATAATGAGAATCAGGCCGCCTTTGGATTCTAAACCCCCACCCTTCTCTCCCCGGTTTCAGTCCCAAACAAAGTCCAGTTAGTCCATCTTTTAGCCTGGTGATCTTATGTCCGAGGCTCTCAAATCTCTCTCAGTCCCTTTCAGCTGGCTTCTTCGAAAGTCTCTCATGCTAAACATCCAGGGTCGAAAAGGTACCTTCTCAGTGTTGACCATGC